TAATTGAATACATAACATTATAATAAAAGAGTACACCACTCGTAATTAAATTTACAGTTTAACACCTAAACTCAGCCATTTTATTTATGAAACGTTGACTTTTTTCAACCAACCACAAAGATATCGGAACTATGTATTTAATTTTTGGAGTTTGATCTGCTATGGTCGGCACTGCATTTAGAGTTTTAATCCGCCTGGAATTAGGTCAACCAGGTTCTTTTATTGGAGACGACCAAATTTATAATGTAATAGTAACAGCCCATGCTTTTATTATAATTTTCTTCATAGTTATGCCTATTATAATTGGGGGGTTTGGAAATTGACTAGTTCCACTAATAATCGGCGCCCCAGATATGGCGTTCCCTCGAATAAATAATATAAGTTTTTGACTTCTTCCACCTTCATTAATCTTACTTTTATCCGGAGGACTGGTGGAAAGAGGAGCAGGCACAGGCTGAACTGTATACCCCCCTTTATCAAGAGGCATCGCCCACGCTGGAGCTTCTGTAGATTTATCAATTTTCAGACTTCACCTTGCTGGGGCAAGTTCAATCTTGGGGGCAGTAAATTTTATTACAACTATCATCAACATACGAGTTGAGGGTATGACTTGGGATCGAACTCCTTTATTTGTTTGATCAGTTTTTTTAACCGCTATCCTTCTCCTGCTTTCCCTTCCAGTTCTTGCTGGAGCCATTACAATACTTTTAACAGATCGTAACCTAAATACTTCATTTTTCGACCCTGCCGGGGGCGGCGACCCTATCTTGTACCAACACTTGTTTTGATTTTTTGGTCACCCAGAAGTTTATATTTTAATTCTTCCTGGGTTTGGCATAATTTCACATATTATTACATTTGAAAGAGGTAAAAAACAAACTTTCGGTCAACTAGGTATAATTTACGCGATAATAGCAATCGGTCTTCTAGGATTTATCGTTTGAGCACATCATATATTTACTGTGGGAATAGATGTAGACACTCGTGCTTACTTTACAGCCGCCACTATAATTATTGCCATCCCCACAGGAGTGAAAATTTTTAGCTGAGTAGCGACACTTCAAGGAAGAGCTTTAATTATCACCCCAACTTTAATATGAGCCATAGGCTTTGTATTTTTATTTACTGTGGGGGGTCTCACAGGAATTATTTTAGCTAACTCTTCACTTGACATCGTACTTCACGACACTTACTATGTAGTCGCCCACTTTCACTATGTTTTATCTATGGGGGCTGTGTTTGCAATTATAGGAGGCTTAATTCACTGATTTCCTTTATTTACAGGAGTAAATTTAAATCCTAAGTGACTAAAAATTCAATTTTATACTATGTTCATTGGGGTTAATATAACATTTTTCCCCCAACACTTTTTAGGACTAAACGGCATGCCTCGACGTTACTCAGACTACCCCGATGCATTTACTACTTGAAACGTATTATCTTCGTTAGGAAGCTATACCTCAGTAGCTGCCGTTATTCTATTCAGCTTTATTATTTGGGAATCTATTTCGACTGCCCGTCCTAGAGTCCATAACTTTATTTACTCTTCATCAATTGAATGACTTCAAAATATACCCCCATCCGAACACTCATACTCGGAGCTATCCTTAGTCACACATTTTTAATGTGGCAGATTAGTGCAGTGAACTTAAAATTCAAAAATGAATAATTTATTCTTTTAAAAATTGCAACTTGAGCGGCTTTAGGGTTCCAAAACGCTTCTTCACCTTTAATAGAACAACTAATCTTTTTCCATGACCACACCCTAACAATTTTGATTTTAATTATTTCTATTGTAGGATTTAATTTATTCTCAACTATACACAACACAAATATTGACCAACATATAATAGAATCCCAAGGTTTAGAACTATTTTGAACTATTATCCCAAGTTTTATTTTAATTTTTATCGGCCTTCCTTCTATTCGCTTATTATATTTATTAGATGAGGTCTATAACCCGGCAATCACCATTAAAACTATCGGCATCAATGATATTGATCTTATGAATATTCAGATTTTATTAACTTAGAATTTGACTCATACATAATCCCGTCAAATGAAATAGAAATAAATATATTTCGTTTAATTGACGTTGATAACCGAATAATAGCCCCTCTGAACTCCCAAGTCCGCACTTTAATTACAGCTGCTGATGTTTTACACTCATGAACAGTCCCAAGAATGGGAATTAAAGCTGACGCTGTGCCAGGACGTCTAAACCAAGTTAATTTTTATACAAACCGCCCTGGATTATTTTTCGGGCAATGCTCAGAAATTTGCGGAGCAAATCATAGATTTATGCCCATCGTAATTGAAACAATCCAGGAAAAAACTTCATTAAATGAGTAAAAAATATATCTAAATAAACTATTCATTAAGTGGCTGAAAGTAAGCGTCGGTCTCTTAAACCGTTTTATAACAATTTAACAAATGTTTTTAATGAAAAAATTAGTTAACATTATTTATAATATAGTTTTGTCAGTTTTGTTAGTTTTGACTAAGTGGTTTAAAAACATTTTTTTATTCCTCAAATAGCACCCATTATATGGCTACCTCTTTTTTTATTGTTCTCTTGGCTATTCCTTCTATCTGTAATTAAAATTTCTAATATTAAAAATACTAATATGAATACCAACGTTGGTCAAACTAATACCCCACTTAGTGGTGACGAAACCGGCCATATAAATTGAAAATGATAATAACTAATTTATTTTCAGTGTTTGATCCTTCATCAATAATTTTTGTATCTTTAAACTGAATTAGATCATTAATTGTTTTAATGATTTTAACCCCTATGTTTTGAGTCACCCCTAATAAATTTTTTTTATTAACCTTAAGAATTTGCAAAAAACTTCATGATGAGTTTAAAATACTGCTAGGACCCCACTCATCAGTAGGAAGAACTATCCCATTTATCTCTTTATTGATATTTATTCTAATAAATAATTTTATGGGTTTATTTCCATACATTTTTACAGCTTCAAGACACATAGTTTTGACCTTAACTTTAAGATTACCTCTATGACTATCATTTATGATGTACGGCTGATTAAATTATACTAAACATATGTTCGCCCATTTAGTGCCACAGAGCACTCCAAATTTATTAATACCATTTATAGTGATTAATCGAATCAATTAGAAATGTAATCCGACCTTTAACTTTGGCAGTCCGACTTATAGCTAATATGGTAGCAGGACACCTATTAATAACTCTTTTGGGCAACCAAACAGCAGCCGCCTCTAACTTAATCTTAGCTAGATTAATCTTAACCCAAATTCTTTTATTAACCCTAGAATCTGCTGTAGCTATAATTCAATCTTACGTTTTTGCGGTATTATCAACACTATACGCTAGAGAAATTACACCCCACTAAATAAGTAATGATAATAAAAAGAGACCACTCATTCCACTTAGTAGACCTAAGTCCGTGGCCCCTTACTGGGGCCACGGGCGCTTTCATTTTAACTACAGGCATTGTAAAATGGTTCCAAGAAATAAATATAAATTTATTTTTATTCGGCATAATAATTATAGCCCTAACTTGCATTCAATGATGGCGTGATATCAGACGAGAAGGGACCTTTCAAGGACTCCACACTTCAATTGTAGCCAAGGGACTGCGCTGAGGTATAATTTTATTTATTACATCTGAAGTATTATTTTTTTTCTCGTTTTTCTGAGCATTCTTCCATAGAAGTCTTGCCCCTTCTATAGAAATCGGTTTAATATGACCCCCTAGGGGAGTACTCCCGTTTAACCCATTTCAAGTCCCCCTCTTAAATACTATTATTCTTCTTGGTTCAGGCGTAACAGTAACTTGAGCCCACCACAGAATTATAGAAAATAATTTTTCCCAAGCATTCTTAGGGCTACTATTAACAGTCACCCTAGGTGTATATTTTACTTCACTTCAAGCTCTTGAATACTGAGAAGCATCTTTTACAATCTCAGACTCAGCCTATGGGTCAACTTTTTTTATAGCAACAGGATTTCATGGAATCCACGTAATTATTGGCACAACATTTCTTATTGTGTGTCTCTCACGACATATAAAAAGTCACTTCTCAAGAAATCACCATTTTGGTTTTGAAGCAGCTGCTTGATACTGACATTTTGTTGATGTGGTGTGACTTTTTCTTTACATAAGTATCTACTGATGAGGAGGTTAGAGTATATTTATAGTATAAAAAGTACACCTAACTTCCAATTAGAAAGTTCAATTTGTTAGATAAATATAATTTTAATAATATTTATTATCTCATTCGGGCTACCCACAATTTTAATTTTATTAAACTCTTTTATTGCAAAAAAAAATATACAAGAACCAGAAAAACCTTCAGCATTCGAATGCGGATTCGACCCAAAAAGATCCTCACGACTTCCTTTTTCTCTTCGGTTCTATTTAATCGCAGTGGTATTTTTAATTTTTGATGTAGAAATTACTCTAGTTATCCCCCTGCCAGTTATTCTTACATCAATAAATTGAGCCCACACTCTAACTCTATTAACATTCTTCATCTTAATTCTTTTAATGGGACTTCTACATGAATGGAACCAAGGAGCCTTAGACTGAAAATAATATTGTATATCAATAAAATAAAGGATTGTAGTTAAAAATAACATCTGGGTTGCATTCAGAAAGTACTGTGAAAGTCTATCTTACACTAGTAAGAAGCGAAAAATCGCGGTCAGTTTCGGCCTGAAAAATTTGGGTTCTCCCCTTATTTTAAAGGAAGCCAAAGAAGCGGCGAGCCACTGTTAATGGCTATTAGGCACTCAGCCTCTTTAATAAGAAAAGGGAGCCAAATTTAAGCCGCTAACTTAAAATTTTAACGGTTAAACTCCGTTATTTTCTTTTTTCTATTTTAGTTTAATTAAAAACAAAACATTTTCAATGTTTAAATAAATAAATATATTTTTATGGGATACATTTTCAAGACTCAGTCTTCCCCTACAACTTCAACGTAGTGCTCTTTTATATAAGCTATAAAAATATAAACTAAGCTAAAAATAAAACCAATACACCCATAAAGAAACTAAATATGAAGAATTTCATTCTTACGGAATTTAATACATCTGCCTTGGAAGAAATAAACTTAGATTTGTCAATAAATCCTTGCCCCCCTAAAAATTCCACTCAACCTTGGTCCGCAAGATTTAAAATTTTTACGCCGTACTTAATAATAGGAGTCAGAGCAAAAGTAGAAATAAAAGGAAGCAGTCACATAGAACCTAAAAAATAGTCTAAACCTGAGGTAGAGCTAATTTTCTTTATGACCTTAAAGTCTACTAAGAAAAAATAAATAAAGAAAAAACTAAAAATTATAGTAACGACCAATAATTTAAGCCACAGGGGTAGAAAAATAAAATTCATAGGAAATAAATAAACTCTAAGCCACCCGCCAGCCAAAACTGACATAAAAATTAAAAATGTTATCGGAATTAGTATATTAATTCTCTCAGCTAAACTTAAAAGATACCGGTTACCCATGTTATTAAAGAAAGAAAAATACAAAAGGCGAACGGAGTACGTTAATGTAAACAATGTAGATAAAACTATTAAGCATCCCATAATTAAATTTATTTTCCCTTGAAAAAAAAATTCAATAATTATATCCCTAGAAAAAAATCCTGATAAAAACGGAAACCCACAAAGAGCTATTGAAGAAATAATGAAGTACAAAGATGTAACTGGGCAAGAAATCATTAGCCCTCCTATCGCTCGAATATCCTGAGTGTCCCCTATAGAATGAATAAACACCCCAGCACATAGAAATAATAGGGATTTAAATATAGCATGAGTTAAAAGATGGAAAAAGGCATACTCGTAGAAGCCCACCCCAAAGATGTTATTATTAACCCGAGCTGACTTAGTGTTGATAAGGCAATAATTTTTTTTAAATCTATCTCAAAATTAGCCCCTAAACCTGATATAAATATAGTCAACATACCAATAAATAATAAAAAATTATTAATACCTAAAGTGTAATTAAACCGAATTAATAGATACACCCCAGCTGTGACTAAAGTAGATGAATGCACAAGAGCCGAAACTGGGGTGGGGGCTGCTATAGCCGCAGGTAGCCAAGCAGAAAAGGGTATTTGAGCTCTTTTTGTTATAGCTGCTAAAATTACTAGAATAACTATAAAAGAAACTACTTCGTACGAATATACAAACTGCGAATAAAAAAAATTCCATCTACCAAAATTCAGTAGCCATGAAATGCATAAAAGAATAGCTACGTCACCCACACGGTTAGAGAGAACTGTAATTATACCCGCATTTGCTCTTTTTACATTTTGGTAATAAATTACTAAACAATACGACACAAGACCGAGTCCGTCCCACCCCAATAAGATTCTAATTATGTTAGGGCTTAAAATTATAAAGACCATACTCAAGACAAAGAAATATACTAAAAAAATAAACCGAGTTAAAAACTTGTCCCCCTCTATATATATGATTCTATAGAAAAGTACCATAGAAGAAATAAATATTACGAGCCCTGTGAATCTCAAACTTATTCAATCAAAAATAAGAGTTATAATAATAGAAGTTGATCTAAAAGAAAATATTTCTCATTCAACAAATATAGTTTCAGCAGAAAGAAAATATAAAAGACCAAACCGCATACTGATTAAGCTAGCCACTAATAATAAAACCCCTAGATAAAAAGGTAAAACCAAATAAAATATTACTTAAAGGGCTCCCCCATCTATAGAATCACAAACTAAAATTTTTCTTAAACTATTTAAATGAAATTATTTAGTAAAATGTAAAAATAAAATTAGACCCTAAAACTAAAAAATTTACTGGGACAATGTGAAGTCTAATAGTGTGAATCTCACGAACATTAGAATGAACAAACCCATATAGTGAATTATAAGAAGACCCGTGTTGTGAAAACGAAAATATAAATAATGTAAAAACCGCCCCTAAAAAGGAGCCTAGGGGAAAGAATAAAAGTATAATATAATCGTAACTCATAATTCTAGCTATCAAAAAAATCTCTGATAATAAATTAATAGTCGGAGGGGCAGCAATATTCGACGCACAGAGAAAAAATATTAGTAAAGAAAAAATAGGAAAACTTAAAATAAGCCCCTTATTAATAAAAAAACTTCGGCTCCCAGTTCGTTCATAATATAAGTTAACCATACAAAATAAACCTGAAGAGGAAACTCCATGAGCTACTATCATCACTAAGGCCCCCATAAATCCCCATGAATAGAGAGTTATTAGCCCCCCAATCACCATAGCTATATGGGCTACTGAAGAGTACGCTACTAAAGCTTTAAAATCATTCAAACGACAACACAAGATCCCTGTAAACATTATTCTAGCTAATCTTAGCCCTATAAAGTAAGGGCTAAACTTTATAACTGAAACCCCTGTGATGCTAAGAACTCGTATAAGACCGTAGCCCCCTAACTTTAATAAAACCCCAGCTAAAATTATCGAGCCTGCCACGGGGGCCTCAACATGAGCTTTAGGGAGTCACAAATGTGTAAAATACATAGGGAGTTTAACTAAAAAGGCTATCGAACCCATAAAAGCAGTAATAACAAAGAAATTAAAACCTGAAAATGAATAAAAAAGTAATTCCCTATAAAATAAAGAAACACCACCTCCAATTATATATAAGTACATAATTAATAAAAGTAAAGGTAACGACGCTGTGAGCGTATAAAATAAAAAATACATTCCTGCTTGAACACGCTCAGGTTGGTAGCCTGAACCCATAATAATTAAAAGTGTCGGGATTAAAGAAACCTCAAAAAAAAAATAATAAAATAATAAATTACCCGAAAAAAAAGTCAATAGTAAAATAAAAAGTAATAAAAAAACAAAACTATAAAAATAAAAAGTATACTCCTTGAAACGAAAAATTTTATAGCTAGAAAAAATTATTAAAATTCTAACCCAAATTCTGTACCAATAATATTTGCCATTAGTAAACACGATCGTTCCCATTTCGAAATGTCTCGATTGGTATATTATTCTGAAATCAGGTTGAACGTAAAAATAAAGAGGTATTTAAATATTCAGCTACTTTTTGTAATGTAAAGTCTAGGAATATTTGGATTTTTCCAGTGTTTTCCAAATTTATTTGGTTCGGCTGAGCTAAATAACTCTGAGTTGAGTGAGTCTTTTATTTATAGCATGTTTGCACAGCGTCTAAAAATGTATCCGAATCCATCGTGCAAATATTCTACGTCCTAATAATAGTTTTAACCTGTACCAAGTGCTTGGTGAAATTGTTTAAACGGTTTAAACATATTTCTACTCTTCATACGAAGATATTTCCATATCTTCGTATATAAATGGTTTCAAATTTTTACAAAACGGGACAGTCGCAAAACACAGATTGCAAGGAGATTCAACATACTCTCAGAATGTCCAAGTTTTTATCGTTACTAACCTTAGGACTTATCTGTCTTATCAGTTTTATCAGGGCGGCAAACCGACCCCAGAGTAACTTGCAGACTCAATCTGATCCACTAGAAGCACAAGACGAAAGCATGCGATTCTTTTGTAAGAAAATTTTGTATTTAGGAAGCTTATTAAAATGTTGATCTAGTTGCGGGTCCACATTAAAATATTGGTTGTATATAATTTTTGGAACGAATTGCAGAGATTGCAAATTCAAGTTTTGCATTCTAAAAATTATTTTAACTAATTATAAAGTAAACTCTTTAGAGTTTTAGCAGTAATAAATCGTCTCCGTTTGGAAATAATATGTGTCTCCACCGAGTTAGGTAATCTTTTCAACCACTAGATAACGTCTACAAAACTCAAATTCATTATTTCAAGGTAACAATTTTGAATTTGGCAGGCATTTTTATTATCATTTGGCCTAAAGTTTCGAGCTTGGTTGAAACACAGTATTTCCGTATGGTGATTATTATTATGTACTACGATATTTTGAATGCAGTTTTTAAGACTGCATGCATGTATTCTGTATGTACATGAATGGTAACATAAATATATTACGAACATTTTCGTTTACTTATGCTCGCCTGACCCCATGTAACTTTTAAAAATTCACCCACTAATCATGTAATTTCTAAAATGTATGATTTATTTAATTTAGGGTCTTTATTCAGCGTGTTCGGTCGTCCAACCCGTCACGGTGGCACACGTCTATGTCAAATGTCTGGGACGGCTTGCAATACTGGTTGCCAAATTGGTGGTAGTACTGGAGGAACTTGCACGGTGGCGGGCGGTTGCACATTTTGTATGTGCAATTAAACAATTTTCCTCAGAACTATGAGAAATAGAGGTATTTTGAGTAAATGCCAATTAAGTTTGTAATTTATTGGTTTTGATAATTTGATAATACAATAATTCCATGGTTTGTACATAATTTTTTTTATTCGCCTACACCGGTCAACATCAGGGTTGCAGAAATCTCATCTCACCTTCACAAATCTCATCTCAGTGAGAAATAGTGAGATTACTGAGAAATAATGAGATAAATGAGAAATATGAGAAATAGTGAGAGTTATGGTCGCCATCTGGCGGATAACGCAATGCACTACTAATAGTACTTTACTATTACCCCTAGATAGCGCCACAAATCTCACTATTTCTCATTTATCTCACTCAGGCCCAATCGAGATGACTGATATATATCATTAAATCTCATTAAATCTCACTTGGTGATCTATGTATATAACTTGCAACCCTGGCCCACATACATTCATGTGAGCATACATATATATATGCCAATATGTATAGTAGTATAATTATATGACCTTTACTTGCAAGGCTCGATTGTCGAATACACAATAAAGTATCTATCTACCTATCTATTTATCTCATTAGTATATGTCCTTTAATATTTATGATTGCGTAACATATACATATTTTCTCTACGCGCGAAAATATTTCTTACATTCTACACTCTAAATAAATTTTACTCAACCTTGAGTAAATTTTACTCAACCTTGAGTAAATTTTACTCAAGGTTGAGTAAAATTTGAGATGACACAACAGTTGAGTAAAATTTATCCAACTTGGAGTAAAATTTATACAACGTTGAGTATTAATTGTACAACGTTGGACAAATTTTACCCAACTGTTGTGTCATCTCAAATTTTACTGCACTTTT